TTCCCCTGATCAGAAGATGACGATGACTGTTCCACACTACCTGAAATGTTGTTCATTAGGCCAGAAAATAATCCTCCTGTTTCAGATTGGGCTGGATTGTGCCCTGATTTAACAGATAGTTGACCTGCTTGAGCAGGTTGAGCCGACTGTTGGTCCTGTGGTACATTTTCACCAGCTGCAAGCTTCAGAAAACCTGAAAGCAACCCTCCACCTTGACTAGCCTGTTGTGTAGTTTTCTGTTGAGGATTTGCAATGTTGCCAGGTTGTTGCTGCTGAGGTGATGTCTGACCAAACAGACCAGACAAAAATCCTCCTTGCTGACTGGATTGAGACGACTGAGCTGCAGATTGAGCAGGTCCAACAGTGTTTGATTTATTTACCTGTTGAGAGCCAGTTTGTAAGGTAGGCTGTTGTGGTGCATTATCTGTCGATGCTAACTTATTAAACAGTCCTGACAATAGCCCACCTTGCTGTGGCTCTGGTGCAGGGGCAGCAGGTTGAGGGGGTATCTGGTTTTGCCTTCGAAGAGGCTGTTTTTTCCCTTGTTGGGATTGCTGCTGGTTGGGATTACCAACAGGTGGTGTCTGTTGTACTACAGGAGTAGGACCTGATGAAAATAGCCCAGAGAACAAGCCTCCCTGTTGATTCGATGGTTGTTGGGTCATCTTAGGGCCTGCTCTTTGTGTGTTTGGCTGCTCTGGTTGACTTACCACTGTTGACTGTTGGGTGCCAGCATCTGCAATTTTGTTAAATAATCCAGTAAGCATCCCTCCAGGACTACTTGGGGGCTGTTGTGGAGGGACTTGGTTTTGCTGTTGTAGGTTTTGTCTATTGCCTGGTTGCTGATTATGTTGGTGCCCTGATGAGAGGCCCTGTTGCCGGTTTTGTGAGGGCTGTCCCAGGTTTGCAGGAGCAGAGTCTTGGCCCCCCATTCCAAAAAGGCCAGAAAAGAAGCTTCCTTGTTGAGGAGGTGCTTGCTGTGTCGGTCTTTGGTTAATTTCTTGATTTACAGTATGTGACTGTAGCTGAGATGGAGTAGGATTAGGATCCACAATCTTGTTAAAAAGTCCTGACAGCATGCTACCTGATTGCTGATTTTGTTGTGTAGGTTGTGTAGTCAGAGGTGCTGTTGCTGTTTGGGAAGCGGTTTCTGTGAGTTTCAACAACCCCCCAAACAATCCACCAGGTTGAGTTGCTGTTGCTTTTGGAGGTAGTTTTTCTGTTGTTTGGTCGGACCGCTGCAGTTGGTTTGGCTGTTTTTCTGATACTGCGGACTGTTCTACTTTCTTGTCAGGTAGACCTTTGTCAGGAGGGGGTGCTTCTGTTGAACCTGCTGACTGAATAAGAGGAGTGGAACCTTTACTCATGTTATGATCAGGTCCTTCTGTTTTGGCTATATGGTTAGTTGTATCTGGTTTTGACTCTTGACTAGATTGAGTTGGTTCAGACCCAGACAGTGTGTCTGTGGCTTTTTTAAAGAGCCCAGATAAGAGACCTCCACTAGGTGGCAGGTCAGCAGCAGGTTGCCCTTGCCTTTGTGTTGGAATTTGGCCAGTCTGGCCTAATGGCAATGAGGACAGTGACTGATTTGTTGGAGAAGAAACATTATCAGAGGCAAATTTTAGAAATCCTGACAACAGTCCTCCTGATTGTTGTGTGGAAGAATTATTTTGTATTTGAGGGGAAGACTGGGAAAAAAGGCCTGAAAATAGCCCACCTTGTTGAGACTGTTTATCCTCTCCCTGGGCTTTTTTGTCAGTTGACACATCTGCTGATCCTAGTTTCAGTAATCCAGTAAGAATACCTTGAGTCTGTGAGGCTTGAGGTTGTGTTGCAGAATGTTCCAGAAGATTGGTGGGACCATGATGTTTAGATGTCATATCTGCTTCAGGCTGAACATTTGTATTACACAGGGGATGATTTTCAGACAATGTTTGCTCTTGCTCCAATTCTTCTGTTCTTAAGACAGTGCTCTCTGTAGTTTTAGGGATAAAGTCTTGATTATGTGTCTCAGTTTGACCAGTTGGTGCTGTTAGCACCACATTAGGAGTCATTTCTGGTTTTGCTGGTTCCTTAGCACTTTCATTTGGGGCTACCTTAAATAGGTTTGAAAACCAGCCAGTTTCTGTGTTTCCTTTTGGTACACTTTCAAGAAGTGCAGCACGACTTCTTGTAGGGCTCGGGGATGGACCTTTTAGAGGGGCATTGGAATCTTCACCAGATGCAAACTTAAGAATTCCAGAAAGCATACCTCCTTCGGTTTTTGGTGGGGTTGTTGTTGAACTATTTTCAGATGAGAAAAAGGGAATTCTTAGTTTGTTACCTAAAAATGACTCATCTGGAGGCTTGGAATCAGTCTGCGAGGAAGTTTCAGAAGGAACTGTTGACATAAGTGTAGAGAGAGATTTCTTAAAAGGACTGAAAAATCCAGTTTCATCTGAATTGCTTTCTAGTTTCGGTTCAGACATAGCAGAAGTTCTTCTTTGCTGAATATCAGGTAGCTCACCAGATGACTCTGTCTCTGGAAGAAGTTCTACTGATCCGCTTCCCGTTTCTTGCGAAAGCTCAATTGATCCTCTTCCTGTATCTGGCAAAAGCTCTACCGATCCACTTACTGAACCTGGTCTCATCTCACTTGATAACTGTCGTTCTGTTTGTGGGCCCTCTCTATTCTGACTCATGGATCTTACTACAGAACCCTGTTGGGATTTATTGCTTGTAGCATCTGCACTTCTTTGCTCAGATGGCTCACTTGATGGCTCGCTAGATGGCGTTGCACTGGCAAAAAGTCTCAAAGGACTAAGTCTCCCTAACATAGATTCAAACCCAGATGTGGATGGATTAGCAGTTGTTGCACTGCCTTGTGACTCTGTGCCAACATTTGTTTGTGCCTGACCAGTGTCAGCTTGTCGACTAGTTTCAGAGGATTTAAATGGCAAAAGAGACTGCAGGGAAAACTTATTTTCTATTGTTGGCTCCTGAGAGGCAGGAGGAACTATGGCTACTGGGGGAGAAGTACCACCAGTCTTTGGGATAAAGGAAAGCAGCTTTGAAATGCCAGACTCACGTTGGGGTGAAGCTTGGGAGGTAAGTGGATCTGTTGTAGTTGTACCAGAGGCCTCTGTGGCTGCATTACTAGCTTTAGGGATCAAAGAAAGCAGTTTTGAAATACCAGACTCTGTCTGTGGTGGTTGGGGGAATTGAGTTGTGGCCGTTGCTTCCACCTCAGTGGTGGACTTTGATCCTGTGATTGTACTGAATAATGAACTCATGGCATTCTTTACTCCAGTTATGCCCTGGTCAACAGCACTGTCCTCCTTAACATCAGGTTTGACTTCACTGCTGTTACTCTCTACCGGTTGCACACTGCTGTTACTGTCTACCGGTTGCACACTGCTGTTACTGTCTACCAGTTGCACACTGCTGTTACTCTCTACCGGTTGCACACTGCTGTTACTGTCTACCGGTTGCACACTGCTGTTACTGTCTACCAGTTGCACACTGCTGTTACTCTCTACCGGTTGCACAACTTCAGTGGTTGGCAGTGCTGGGAGTTTTCTTCTTATTGGTTTGGGCAGTGATTCAAAGCTCTTGAATTCCTCTTCTTTAACAGCCAGGTATTCAGAAACTGAGTGAACTAAGCTTTGAAGTTCATCCATTGCATCTACATATTCATCACCTGGCTCCTCTACAGGAGACAACATAGGATCTTCTCCACCACCTATTCTCCCTTGAATCGCTTTATCGCTTGAATAGCCTTGTCCTCCAAGATGTGACATAGACATGCTAGGGTAGTAGTAACTTTCATATTCATAACTAAAATCCCCTTGAGTGAATGTCAGGTCATCTAGTTCCTCATCAGATCCAAATGAATACTGCAGCTCATCTGAACCAACAGACCCATATTCACCATTTCCCCTGATCCTAGCAGCGTCTTCCCGAGCAGCCTCCTGCTCACGAAAAGCTGCATAGCTCTCAAGTGTGTCCTCTAGGGCAGTTTTTGCCCACAGTCTTGTTTTGTACAGTAGGCCTTCTCTGACTGTTTGTTGTCGTTGCTGTTTGACAGAGGGAATTATATCAATTTCCGGAGGGGAAGATTCATCCTCAAAGCTGCCAGCTTCCTTATAAACTAACCGAACTTCTCCACTACCAAAGCCATGCCTCTGCCTGTTTGGCCTGCCGTTCACCTCCTCCGTACCATCAGGGGATAATGCGTCACATTCCACTGTCTGATAGAACCTGCTGCCTTTAGACTCACTAGCATTGTCACTGATCCGATAGATGATGCTTTTATCTTCTTCCTCCCATATTTTCTGCTCATCGTCCAAGTAATCATCCAAGACACCTGAATCAGGCACTTTATATTTATTCTCCCAGTCCTCCACACCCATACCTGAGTCCACAGGGATTATTCTTACAACATCCTTACTGTTTGATCGCCTTGATTCAAGGAAAATAGTGCCATGCAGGAAGCAGTGGAGTGTGTTGCAAAGAAAAAAAAGAAAGAAAGGAAAAGATAAAATGAGAAATTAAGTAGCAGACGTGGTCGAAAAAACGAAAATATCATGCAAAGAAAGTCTTATTGAAGTTTAGTAAAAAGTCAAGAGGAAATGTAAAACACATATGGACAAAAATATATGTTGTTAAAACTGTGCCAAATTCATGGATAAAATGTTTGTGCTGTTGTTCATGCAGATGAAAGATTCATATTTTGGTAGGCTTATTTTGGCTGCCATAGTTTTTCTCTCGGATTTTGTCAGAGATCATTTGTTTTCCCATGGCAACACTTTCAATATCATTGCTTACATGATGAAACATCTATATTGGGCAATCACTGAACTTGCAAAAGCATACTTGTTAAACTAATTAAATAATTTGACAAAACTATCCAAGGCTGTGGCTCCTATCTCTATCAATAGATTCTGCTACTCTAGTTAACTTAACTCCTCAAAGCAAAGAAAACACATGCATGATGTTTTTGTGAGTAGATGTGTGTTTACCTGGGCTGCCTCATTTCTCTATAGTCTAGCTCATAGCTTTGAATAGAGTCCGACTCCCTGGAAAGGGTGTGATGTGGGACCCTGCGTCCTATAGGGTACTGGTGCACTGATGAATTTGTCTGGGAGGTGTTGTGGAACCGTGGAGGTCTGTTGCCAGTTTCACTGCGGTAGTCACTGTCGCGGTCATCCACTGCACTGTCATGGTCATCCAAAGCTGGGAAAAGACAGTTGAGTAAAATACATGACATCATTTCTAAATTACATTTAAATCTGATTTCTTTAAGTCCATTAGATTTTCAGATAATACTTTGCTCTTCATTCATTTATGTATTACATTTGATAGAAAAAGCCTCTGGTAGATGTTAGACAGTGTATTTAATGCTCATAATACATAAAACAAGCTTCCTTTTCTTCCGTGTGTTACAGACATGTCATTGTAAGCATGCCAGATTTGTAAAGTGTAACTTGACAAGTGGAAGAAATAAAAATGGTAATTCATGCCAAAGTTACATCAGTAAGGTATTTTTTGACATATTTCTGCTTAACTTGAGTATTTCAATTTAATGCTAATTTAAACTTACACTCCACTACATTTCAGAGGCAAATATCGTACTTTTTACTCCTGTAAATTTGTTTTCACACATTAGTTATTTGTATATATTGGGCCATAATGGGCCAATGTGCCGAATGAGTACTTTGACGGTTTGTACTTTAAGTATATTTTGATGCTAAAACATTTGTACTTTTACATAAGTAACATTTGGAAATCAGGACTTTTACTTGTTATAGAGTATTTTAGGTCCATTCTATTTGTACTTTTACTCAAGTAAAGGATTTAAGTACTTATTCCAACACTGCTGCTAGGCCATGATGTGAGGAATTCTTCCAAATAATAATATATTTTTGAATAAAAAGCTCCCTCTTGTGGCAGCAGGCATGTAATACAAAAAAGACCAAGATGACAATGACATGAACAACAAGATGATAGAATATTACAACATACTCAAAATGCCACATTATATATGTGAACACAAATGACACCTACTTTAATCAGAAAGGCACATGAATGTTAAATTGTAAATACAATGGCCACAAAAAAAGAAAACAAACCAAACATTCAGTATGTGAAAGGAAATGCAAAGAAGAGTCCTGATCCATGCAAAAGTACAGTAGATGACAAGTAAGAGGGGGAACAAAACATCCACTATACGTACTCTGCTGTTCATTCCATCCGAAATAACTCCAATTGCCTGAAGGCATGAAGGCAAGTGTTCAAAGAAGTGAGGAAGCAAAGTGTACTTCATTACTGTACTCAAGTATGTAACATGCAATGGAGCTGAAACCACCTACATCTTGGAAGCTTGATGTAAATATGGAATGGGTTAGACCAGTATGGGGTAAATAAGGTATGAGTTAAGCAATGTGATCAAATCACACAAAGTAATGTGATGACTGAGTTAAGATTAGATGAGATGATATAATATGATATAAAATAAGATTATATAAATTAAGATGATACAAAATGAGATGAGATGAGATAAGAAGAGATGAGATGAGATGTGATACAAAAATATATGAATAACATATGATAATATAAGATAAGATGAAACTTTATTAAACCTGAAGAAGATTCTTGTGCCAGATATTGCAAAGAAATTCCAACAACATGAGCATAAAAATATATAGTGTAAAAAATATAACGAAATATGAACAAAAAGTAAAGTGTGCAGATGTGATACTAACAACAGTACCTTATGTACAACAAAACACAACAATCAAGATTAGTATGGTAAAATAGGTTAACTTAAATAGAAAATAAATATTGTATTTGTGTGTGTGTGCACAGTATATACTGTACATGTCACATAGACGAGTGTTATGGGGTCAGAGATTAGTCTCTAAATAAATAAATGCACAAAGAAAGATTCACAAATGTAATTTCGGGATTAGTATATATATTTGCACACAAAAATACTTATTACGTTTTATATAAATGTAAAACAAAATCCACATACAGAAAAAGAAGATTCACAAATACATTTCTGATCCAAAAATAAATAGTTTGGGTTTTAAATTAATGTTATATATATCCATAAATTCCTGTATTTAATAATGTTTAATGTTTTCATCTAAAACATATTTAAATGTTGTACATTTATAAAAAAAAAGAAGTGCTTTTTTTTTGCATGAATCGCTCAGCATTTGAATGACGCCACTACATTCACAAACGCTCTTGGCAGAGAAGTGTCTGTAGCCAATCAGATGTGTATCTCATCCCACTGGTATGGTTTAATCATGGATGTATAGAGAGAACTGGAAACAGCATTAGAGGCGGGACTCGGTTCATTCCTATGAAAGTTGCTCAGTGGCGCATGAAGCAAAAATGGTCTGAATCTCAAGAGAAAAAGTGTCTGGCCCATAGAGCGTGTGCACTTGAGAATTCTTTAAGCTCGCATCTAATCTCCCGCTCTCGGCTTAGTCATTACAATGGATGGAGGCTAAATAACTCTAGATTCGGCTTTTAGCGCATTTTGCCACTTTTAGACCCTAATGACTTAAATAAGGGTTTTAAGAGTGTACATACTGGGTATTTGATTTAGCTCAAATTAAAATGATCCTCTGATTTTACAGACATCTTTTTCCCAAACTAATTCAATACAAAAAAAAGGTGAACGTGTGAAAAGTGCTATGGCATTAATGTGACTTCTATACTCACAGCACTGAGAGGGAACAGAAGCCATTCGTGTTCTCTGGACCTCGTCCTGCAGTGGATACTGTCACAATTGAAAAGCAAATCAATATCATTTAATACTAAAAAGGCACAAGTCAATACAGTATTTATGGATCATCTGTGGTGTTGTTAGTATTATTGCCCAGTAGATGGAAGCAGAGAGCCAACACAAACTCGCTAAGAATGGACCACATTGTGACAATGGTTGGTAATTATATTCTACAAAGAGACACTGGAGGGGTTTGAAATGGAGTATTCTTGTCATTTCTGTAATATCCAAAAATAAAATTAAAATAAAACAAGTTGCCTTTATTTTATTACTGTATTGTATCTAAAAAAAATGTGTCTGATGTTGAAAATTATTTGAATGGAAAACTGGAGAAACGATACAACTTCAGGATGAACATAATTTATATATAATTTAAAGGTGATGGAATGAATTCAGATTCGTTTTTTTATACAATTCAATTTTCGTTGGGGAAAATGTCACAGTGACAAGAAATATACTGACTCCAAACTACATTTTCTATATTTTTACTTTTATCCTTACCTTATGGCACCACTAATAAAGTTGATTAGAAGATTAGAAGTAAGAAAGCAATCAAAACCAAATGTGTATTTGATAAATAATTTACTTTACATTTTACAAATTTGTTTTGATTTATTATAATTTCTTTACCTTTCTTTCAGCTCTTTTTTCCTACTCTCACACGGCTTGGCGCACAGTTGATGGATATAGATACAGTAAAGCATGAACAAGTAAAGCCAAGTTTTAATGATTCATATAATACTTTTTACACACAATCCCCACCTATATTGTCCTATCCTATACTACTTGGATTTATATACACATGTTGAGAGGAAACTGTATTTTCAAAAAACCACCCATACGAAAAAATGCCAAACTTCATTGCATCTCATCAAAAGGTGTTAGTCTGTGGAATAACTGTAATGATGCACTGAAATATTGTACAAGTCTATCTAAACTGAAAGTATTGTTTAGGAGCCGAATCATTTAATGGTTTAAGTATTATTTAGTAGCCAAATCATTAATGGTTATGAACAGGACCTGTAAAATCCCATTTGTTATTTCTCGTAATTGTAAAAATAATTTATTTCTGATTGTTTTGTAAAAAACAAAAAACAAACAAATTAACAACACAAACATGTCGCTGATGACGATGACCTAATATTTTATTTATAAGGAAAATGTATGCTGGAGGGGGTAGGACCAGAAACGTTTTTTTTAAGCTTCTTCTTGCCCCTGTTGAACATGACAGAGACTATTTGAGAATTATTATTATTTTATTGTACTTTGTTATAATTATTATTATGAGTGAGAAAAAAAAAGAGGAAAAAAAAAATATATATTATTATTGTTGTATGTTTTTTTTCTGACATGTTCAATAAGTTGACTAAAAAAATAAAAAAATATATATAATAATTTTAAAAGCATGAACAAGTAAAGCCAAGTTTTAATGATTCATATAATACTTTTTACACACAATCCCCTCCTGTATTGTCCTATCCTATACTGCTTGGATTTATATACAATAATTCTAAAACGTCCTTCTTCTTCTTCCGAACTACCCAGTGGTGGAATGTAACAAATTACATTTACTCATCTATTGTCGTTAAATCTTTTTACATCTTAACTTGAATATTTCCATTAAATGCTACATACACTTTTACTTCACTACATTTTAGAGGCATGACATGTACTTTGTACTCTACTACATTTATTAAACACTCCTAGTTACAAGCTTTTTCGTACATATAAAAACACAAGTGATGAATTACGTTAATGTTTAATATGCGCAGTATTTTAAAAAGTATCTTAAAATGGCTCACATTTACAAACTACAACATCAAAAATGATTTGACAAGTATTTGCAATTGATAAACAAATTATTTGTAATTCTATAACACTGTTAAAAAGAGCAATTCTGCACACTGTGTATTTGATACACAAAGTACAGTTTCAATTCATGATTTTGTATTGGAATGGAGTATTTCAGGTCTAAAGTAAATCTGCTTTTTCCACCACTGCAAATACCTACATACTTTGGTGAAGAAAAAGGAAGCAAGTCCTAGCTTTTTTCAGTAGATCTCCTTTAAGGCTCTGGATTGAACATCTCTAATTTCTATGTAATCTAAAACATATGGACAGGAAAAATACTTTTTAATGCTAAGCAAAATGTTTTATTTAGTAGACCTACCTCGTCATGTATCCGCATGGTATTGACCCGATCCAGTTTACTGGTCCAGTACTGAGCCTCGTCTTCTGGGATATCTAGACCCATTGGATGGAAGTGTTAAAAAAAAGTCTGGAGAATATTAGGAGGAGAGTGCAAGAGGGTAAATGGAGGAATAACAGACACAAGGGATGGAAGGATAGGTGAAGGGAGGTAGGCGTGATAAAAAGAGAAAGGTAAATAATGGAGAAGGAAAGTGCAAAACATAGAATGTCAGGCAGAGAGAGGAGCACAGGGACTGTGACTCCACCCTCCCCTCAGTTCCACCCTGTCGTATCCCATCTGCACTGCTTAATGTTGTCCCATGTTATATTCATGTGTGTTTAATAGCTTATGAGGAGGTTTCCTTTTGGAGGACCAGAAATAGAATGAATATCCACCTCAGGGGCCTCATGGGTCCTCCCCAAAGCCACATAAAGGCAAGAAGCTGGGTCTAAAGAGGAGATAAAGTGAAGAATAGGGGAAGATGTAAAAGCCTGGCTATGGTCTCAGCCATGTTACATTACATTACATGTTACTTGTTAGACGCTTTTATCCAAAGTGACTTACGTACTAAATACTGTGGGCATTCCCCACAGGAACAATTTGGGGGGAAGTGTCTTGCCCAGGGACACAACGACATGCTGACTTTAGTGGGGTTTGTACCTGTGCTCCCCTGATCCGAACAGCACTAACGCACTAACCACTGCGCCACAGCCCCCCCCCCCATGTTCCCATGCAAAACACAGCTAGTCAGTGTCAAATGTTTAAATACGCATGCACAGCATTTAGAAAACATTCACCAACTTGACGAAACATGTGCACGGTTTACTAAAACACTGCAAGACACACAACCGAAATGGGGACAATAAACACATAGCTGTAACTGGTGCGCTTGTTGACGTTCAGGGATTTTAAGTTGGCCAACGGTCACTGTTGGTGGAAATGTACCTTAAATGTTTCATCAGCCTATTTTAAAACAATGTGATAGCAGTTAGCTACAGTAGCTAGTTGCTTTCATACCCAATAGCAAAAAAAGACTTGGAAAAAGTAGGGACAGATCTCTTATTCCTATCAAGCAAAGTATATATATTTATTAAGTTCTGAGATACATTACATTACATTACATTGCATTTAGCTGACACTTTTATCCAAAGCGACTTACAATAAGTGCATTCGACCAGGAAGATACAACCTTGAAGAAAACAGAATCATATAAGTACATCAGGTTTCATAGAGCCAAACATTTCAAGTGCTACTCAACTGGCTTTAGAAAAGCCAGCCCTTTATTAGTATATAAGTGCTTTGTTAGTAATTCAATCGCTCGAAGTGGAGTCTAAAGAGATGAGTTTTCAGTCGTCGCCGGAAGATGTGTAAGCTTTCTGCTGTCCTGATTTCAATGGGGAGCTCATTCCACCATTTTGGAGCCAGGATAGCAAACCCACGTGTTTTTGCTGACGGGAACTTGGGTCCTCCTCGCAGTGCGGGTGCAGCGAGCTGTTTGGCTGATGCAGAGCGGAGTGCACGTGCTGGGGTGTACGGTTTAACCATGTTCTGGATGTAGGAAGGGCCAGATCCATTCGCAGCATGGTATGCAAGTACCAGTGTCTTGAAGTGGATTCTAGCAGTTACTGGAAGCCAGTGAAGGGAGTGGAGGAGCGGCGTGGTGTGGGAGAATTTTGGAAGGTTGAAGACCAAACGAGCCGCTGCATTCTGGATGAGCTGCAGAGGTCGGATGGCACATGCAGGTAGACCAGCCAGGAGGGAGTTGCAGTAGTCTAGGTGTGAGATGACGAGAGCCTGGACCAGAACCTGCGCTGATGTCTGGGTCAGCTGGGGACGTGTCCTCCTGATGTTGTAAAGCGTGTATCTGCAGCAGCGGGTTGTAGCAGCAATGTTTGCAGTGAAAGACAGTTTGTTATCTAGGGTCACACCCAGATTCCTTGCAGTCTGAGTCGGGGAAACAACAGAGTTACCGATGTTGATTGTTAGGTCAAGAGTGGGACAATCTTTTCCCGGAAGGAAAAGCAGTTCAGTCTTGTCAAGGTTGAGCTTGAGGTGATGAGCAGACATCCACCGAGAGATGTCTGCTAGGCAAGCAGAGATGCGTGTGACGACCTGGGTCTCTGAGCGGGGAAAGGACAGAATTAGTTGGGTGTCGTCAGCGTAGCAGTGGTATGAAAAACCATGCGGGCTAATGACAGACCCGAGCGAGTTTGTGTACAAGGAGAAGAGGAGGGGACCAAGAACAGAGCCCTGAGGGACCCCTGTAGTTAATTGACAAGGGTCGGACTCTGACCCTCTCCAAGATACTTTAACTAAGGCACACTACTCGTTGCAGTGTTGTTATTTTAATGAAATCAATGTTCGCAAAGCATGCATTGCTGATGTTGTCATACCAGTTAATGATCCTCAGTATACTGTACCAGCCAGGCCCAGTTCAATGGAATCCACCGACTATTAAAAACCTGCTAAAAATGTCAGTGTTCTAAAGGCGACCCCTATCACTGTCAGAGTATCACAGTACACCACTGCACATCAAAAGTTAAGTGCCATTCTCAACCTTTGTTTTACTTCAAAGGGAACAGTCCAGTTATGCAGGCAGTTAAGAGGAAATCAAGAGAAGCCAACAGATAAATATTGGATGTGCAAGCTGGAGGGAATTTCAGGACACAAAGAGGAGAGATATGGAAGCCAGCTGTGGTCCTGCAAAAACACGAGCAACTGCTATCTTTTTTTGTGTGTTTTTCGCACAACAGATGGGAAACTTTAAAGAACAAGCAAAGACTATCTGCAGGAAAGGGATTGGAAGAACCTTTCCATCAACAAACGAGCGTTGACTCAGGTACAAAAGGCTACAACAGCAGTGACAACATAAAGGTAATACATTGTTCATCTGACCACTCATATCAAACCATGTCTTGGTAACAAGAGGCCCAAGACACACAGAGACGCCTGAGAAATATAGTATATATTGATGTTTCAGCATAAAAAGACATAATAATATTGGCTTTTTAAAATACATTTATCCTTTGACTTCAATTTGGTATAAATGTTTTAGAACTACAGTTCCAAATATGCTCTGACGGATGTAAACAGGAAGAACAAAATGTTACATTTCAGGTTCATATGTGTATTTTGTGCCTCTACTGTGACATGTTTGCATTTAATGTGATTTAATGCCGCCTGACCAATCACAACAGAGCCGGCCAGCTAACCAATCAGAGCAGACTGGGCTCTGGTTTCAGACAGATGGTGAAAAGAAGCACTGCAGCACAGGCAGTATGAGAAAAATGAAGCTCCTATTGTGCAATCATAGATTATTGTTCCGCACATTACCGCACCAGTTCAATAATAAAAATAAAGATAATGCTAGTTACATCAACATTCCGCCAAAGGATGCTACACTATCAGATCTTCTAAGCTGCATTAACATAATGGCTATGTCGCTGTGTTTGTGTGTGTGTAGTATTTTGGATACATGTGTCCGTGAACACATACATACCAAAGGGCAGCTCAAATCGGGTGTCCAGCAGCACTTGGTGAGGAGTTGGGTTGGAAGTTCCACAGATCTCATCCTCCTGCATTAACACTTCAGCGTCAAGCGATGTCCATTTCCCTGGTCCCTCCTGAGAAAGAGATACAGGGAGAAAGAGAGAACAGATAAATAAAGGAAGAAAGAAACATTCATTGAGGAAAATGAAGGGTGTTTGCTGGCTAAGGAGGAACATTCTTCAAGAAAGTTAAGCAAAGATGAAAAACTGAAGAAGCAAGGGCCTGGCCTGGCGGTTCAGACCATGTTAGAACAGAAGTGAGAGTTTACTGTGCTCAAATTTAGGGGGGGGAGTAAAAACACTGGGGGATGCATTATTTATGAATGCATAAGTGCTGCTTGCTCACTTCACTCTCCAGAAAAGAAATGAGTTTTAGAGGCGAGACAAGCATGCTCGCAGTTTGCTGTAATGAGTTAGCACCCTGAGAGAGAGCTTTTTTTAAACTTAGCTGACAGGTAAAGATCGAGTTAATTTCTCTGCTACTCTACTTCCTTGTGCTAAGGTACATTTAAGGCAAGTTACAACATATTATTTGAAGAATACTGCTGCAAGAGTGTGAAGCTTATCATATATGATAATATAGGGGTAAATAAGAAAATAAGCTGTGTATACAATGGAAACATAAGGGCTAATACTTTAAAATAAACATAATTAATACAGCGCAAATTGCTTTAGTTAATGGTTATTTTACTGTCAACTATTAACTGATAATATTGAAAAAACGATTGTGTACAAGTCCTTATTGATGCTGTAAATCTTATCTTTAAATTATGTATTGTAACATAGTTGATAAGAGAAGATAACAATGACATTCTGATTGCAACAATTAACAGTTAATTGTTTGACAAGTTATAACATACATATTATATAATATCTTAAGTATGTGTTAATGATTACCAAATGAACATTAAAATCATACTTTACATAAATAATAGCATTACTTATAATAAGTAAACATTATTTAATTACAATGTCATTGTTTATAAACAGTAACATAACTATTAACTAAAGTTTAATTCATTATCTATTTCATATTTAGTAATGAGGGGCAGTATAAAGTGATACCTCTCTGGGTTGGTGAGTTCTCTCTTATAATTGTACTTAGTCCACAGTCTAAGCCTTAAAAAGATATGTTACAAAGTTCTTCTGAAGCTAAGAAGCTCAGCATGGATCCACCATCTCAAGAATCATCAAAAGAGGGTATACTGTAATAAAAAGCTGTACTGAAAGGAAGGGCATGTGATACATATGCCTTACGTGCATTACAATTGAACCTTCTTTTCATTGGAAAAGCAATCATAACAAAAACCTTAACAGCTGTCATGAATGATAGGGATACTTACAACAACTTCAATGTTGGTATTAAAATTAACTATAGTCAAAGACATACATGAAACAGGTGCATCAATTGCAAAAGCTGCGTACATGATCCATGAAAATATGTATTCATACACCTCACATACACTTGACCTCTATGGCAAAAAAACGTAGGTTGCGTGATTTTTTTATGGACCAAAACAAAGCGAGCTAACGAGATAACAACAAACAAGTTAAACACTCACAGAAGACAGGGACTTAACCAGTTTAGCCCTGAGCCTGTTTTTCAGGTCTCAGGCTCGAAAATGACATTTCCAGAACAAATGACCATATTTTCCCTTCTAAAAGGGTTAAATTAATAATCTTTATTTTCAAAGTAATGATAAACCTGTGAGTTGGATGTAGAAAAGTAAGAATCAATATAGATGTTTTTTTATCTTAAAGAAAATTCAGATTGAACATAGTAAAAACTGTAAATTATAGTGTCCGTCCAAAGATTATTTCTTACTTATAGTGAAAACTACCCTTGGATGATGGTAAGGTAGACTAAAAGCTTTAGGAATCCAAACTACAATATATAAGAAGTACCCTGTATCAATATTGATGCAAAACAAGTGACATTTGACCTTTATAGAGAGATTTAGCAAAAGAAAACCCACTTCTGGGGTCATTTGGGTGGATTTTCCATATCTCTGGCCCCCCTTGCTCGATGTTGCTGATTGACATCTCTTTCTAACCATCAGAGCCAATGGAATTGAGAGGAACTCCCACATACTCCTTATTTGGTAATGTGTGTGTGTGAGACTGACGCATAGCCAAAACCGGAAGCTGCGA